TGAGACAGCAATTGGGAGTTCTGTACACAATAAATCACTCCTTCTGGTGACTCCTGCCTTTTAACTTCCAAACTGGGATTTTGGCCTGATGATTGTAGTGATCCAAGTACAACCACTTTTTAGATTCCTACAAAGAAGGAGTGAGTGTGCTAGTATACTATCACTTACAACTAGTTCACGCACAAGTCAATGCCTCTACACCACCCTCTTGTGAAGTATACGGTGAACATAGTTGAAATCGACGGTCGAACTGTTTATAGCCTCAGCTCAATCCTTGATAAGTAGTCATCGCAGATTAGGCACTCTGACTCTTAGATAATCGCAATGACTTATGCTGAGGCTGTTTTCGTGGTTGCAGACAAGATTATCTTAATGGCTGCAGTTTTTGTGATTCCCAAATTCAAATCGGGAGAAGCACGTAGGTAACCCCTGTGGAAACGCGAAAGCTTCTATTTTTTATTGCGGGCGTTTACTAGTCCTCCTCTGGGGGCAAGTCTTAGTTCTCTGTTCTCTGGTCTTTACCGTTCTACGTTTTAATTCAGGCCACGGATCGGATGTTCGCAGCGTCGCTTGGCATCCGTATATGTCCTTGATTATGTCCGGAAGTAAAGACGCCCAACAGCCAATCAAACTGTGGGAACCGAAAACTGGCGAATCAATTGCCACCCTGTAAGTTATTCTGGCGTCTCTCTCCGCAGCCCGAATTTTCTTCGAAACTGTCTTTCTAGTTCGTGGTGCGCCCTAAGAAGCCATCCCATCTGAACATTAGCCACACATGCACCTTTAATTCCACCGCCTGGTTGTGCTGCAGTTGCCGAATAGCGGGAGCTTGAGCGGTGCATAGGCCCTCAAGTAGATCCATGGTCCCAGCGGCACATGTGAAGCCTGTGAAATGTCGAATACTTTCTAATCGCCTCGCAGCATTGAAAGGTATCTCGGATCCCTTTAATCCCATTTTAGTTGACCCAATTGTGAAAAAAAAACTCGCGGCCTTGGTGGGGGTCGAACCCACACAGCAGGGAAGGTCTTTGCGCAGCCAACGCTCTCCCATTGAGCTACGAGATTCATCATGCGCCGTGAATTGAATCACACTTGGATCGGATTTACCCGCCCAACTTGCTGCTCGTAGGGAATCCACCCTTACGGAATATCAAGCTGACTGCCCAAGTAGGACTTCCTAAGCAATCATCTAGAATCCACCAGAATGACTAACGGGCTGACTTTAATTGTTAGGGGGTTTTGACAGATTTGCTTAATTTAGTTGACCCAATTGTGAAACAAACGGTGTGGCGTCGTAGCTCAGATCGGTAGAGCGTTGGCTGCGTAAAGACCTCTCCCGATGTGCGGGTTCGACTCCCGCCGGCGCTGCGAGTTTTTTTCACAATTGGGTCAACTAAAATAAGGAAATCTACCAAACCCCCTAACTACCCTATTTTTATTTTTCGCTTATTTTTTGTCCCGTCAAATTGAGTAAGCCTTGGGGTTTTGCAAACACATTCCGTCGGAAAGTTGTTAGCTGAAAAATTCGCTTAAGCATTGCAATGAAGTTAGAACCGGCATGCCTAGCAAACGGACGCACGAATATTCAAGTGCACAAATATGCATACCAGTTATTACGGATTTGTCCAGAACATCTGTGATTTCCCACTCTGAGAAAAAAGTTTTTATTCCCTAACCCTACTCATTTCACTTTCACTGGCTGCAAACTGCACCACTTTGCAAACCATTGTCTCCTCATTTTTACTTCTTCCTAGTTATGTCCACAAAAACACCTGCACAGATGTGGCCTGGAACCAGAATGGCAATTGGTTCCTGACCGCTTCGCGTGATCACTTGATCAAGCTTTTTGATCTCCGCTACATGAAGACAGAGATGCAAACCTTCCGTGGACACAAAAGAGACGTTATGCGCGTTGCTTGGCATCCCTGTCATGAGAGTCTCTTCGCTAGTGGCAGTGCAGATGGAACCATTCTCTTCTGGAATGTGGGGTAAGTGAAAGCGAAATGAGTTGTCAGCGCCTTTTAGCAGTCATACTGTGCTACGATCTTTGCTGAATCAGACCGTTCTCCTTTCCTCATACCCCTCTGAAATTGCATGATCAGGTCCCTTTTTATCTTGTTTCACGCTCCCGAGAAAATATACAACGTGCTCATATGAATCCACAGTGAGGGCACCTACTGATTACTTCTTTTTCGGCTTTCAAAACTTCCGGTGCATCGTTCATTTAAGTTATAGTCAGATTTCCCCTTCAAAATAGCTTATTGCATTCAATTCGCAGGTCGCCGAATTGACTTTTTGTTAAACTTTCTTCACTTATGAGCTGCTCACCTGTTTTCTTCTCCATTCAATGATGCGTATGGTTTTATCCTCCACGGTAGGCTTTCACTCTTGCCCGTGGACTCCTTACCCAGGAAGTCATCCTCACACCTCTTTATCCTTCGTAAATGTGAAAAAAACTTTTTCGGGTTTAATTATACTCATGACTAAGCTTTTACCGCAAGGGAAGTGACGATGAATTGAACGTTGAACTAAGTAGTACTAATGCATAATGAGAAACAAAAAAAGGATTTATTCCGGAGTTGCTGCGGAAACATTGCGTTGTCATAGTAAATATTGCGCATTGAGGTCCATTGTTTTATGGTTTATGACTGTTTCAGCTTTTTTTTTTTACCTATGTGACCTCTCTTATGCTTTTTATTGATTTCTATCTTGAATTTTTTCTGCAAAAGTAACAAGTTCGGTCGAGGAACAGGACGTAGAAATTTTTAACGACGCCCATTTAGAAATGACTTGTCCCCATCTGTGGTTTTATTTACATTACGTTTTATTACCGTTGCTAATTGGATATGTATAGAAAGTATCCGCCATTGTCTAACGTAAAGGAGCTGGTTTCAGCCTGTCGTTTTTGAGGGATACTACAGGACTACTTTCATCCGACGCAGTCTTGTTAGCCCTGATTAACGACTGAAATCAAACTGAGGCGTTTGGAATAATACATTTATCTCCTTCATCTGTCGAAATTGAATTGGTTCAACTGGTTCAAGTGTGTAGCTGAGCCTTTTTAGCTCCTCGTTTTTGACGATTTGAATCAAAAATGCCCCGGTAGCGGCGATGAAGCCGGTTTGCCGTAATCTCCGAGATTGTAATGCGCTTGCACCAAAAGGCTTGACTGCGAGTGTTTTCTATGTTTATTTATCTTTGCCGTCTGTCTCATCTTTGTCATTTTTGTATGCTTTAACACACGCCAGAACCGACACCGAATTGGGCGCTATCGATGATGCTCACGAAAGTATGATCTGGAGCTTGGCCTGGCATCCTCTTGGTCATATCCTGGTTTCCGGAGCCAACGATTTTGCCACGTAAGTCTCTGCACAAAGTTCCTTTCTCCCGTCCCTCC